AGTAAACATTAAGACAAGTCTATGAACAAAATATACTAACGAAGGTTTTATCAATCATTCAATAGTTTATGTAGGAGTAATCGAAGTAAGTTTTAAGGACAAGATCTATGAACAAGATCTATGAACAAAATATTCTAACGACGTTTTATTAATTACTCAATAGTTTATGTAGGAGTAATCGAAGTAAGTTATAAGGACAAGATCTATGAACAAAATATTCTAACAAACGATTTATTAATTATTCAATAGTTTGTGTAGGAGTAATTAAAGTAAGCTTTAAGGACAAGATTTATGAACAAAATATTCCAACAAACGTTTATCAAATATTTAATAGTTTATATAAATTTCTCTTTTATTAACTTATATCTAATAACATCACTATAATCATTATTGTTGTTTATTGTTCTAATCATCATTTACATATGTATATAGGAATTGTAAAAGAAAAATTTTAGCACTTGACGATCTTCAAAAATCATATGGCTGTAAAAATTTTATTGACTTGCACTATACCTTCGAAACTACCCTTAACAATAAACCAAATGTCGAAGAAATTAGTCTAATAAATTAAATTGTGCTACTTGAAGATGTATTTAAAGGGTTGGTTTTCGACTTGCTCAAAGGACAACTCTCTTTCTAACTCTTCTCTTGACCATATCTCTTGATATAACTTTGAAACAACCTCGATATAACATAACAATAAATGAAATGGTTGTCAATGAAGTAAACATGACCAATTTAAGAGACAAATTACTCAAAATGATTTTTTTGAATGTTCTAATAAATTTTCCATTGTTACCACATCATCCCGTTGTTGGTTAAACATTACCCAAAGTTTAATTTGGTCGTTTTCTTACGTTAATCACATTATGAAATAATTAATAATTAATTGACAAAACGTAACACAAATACAAATACAAATAATAATTAATAATGTCTATTTTTATTTTTTTAAAAAAAAATTACAACTAATGTATTTAATATAATAGCAACACTAAAATGAAATGCTATGGGCCATTCCCTGAAGAAATTCCATAAGTGGTCTATTAGCATGGTCATTGAACACTGTCCAAATTCGTGCTTCACGTTCACGGTCCTGTTTTTTTTGTAAGGGTCGTGGTATTCCTCGTAAAATCGATTCTACATCAAGCTCAACTCGATTTTGTTCTTTTTGCAATTCCTTTATGATTTTGTAAACACTTAAATGTGCAGTACCTACTAAGGCACCCCATCTTCGATGCCAAGCCTCTACAAAATTTTGAGTTCGTGGAAATGCATAATCGATATTATCAACGACTGACCAGAAGTCAGGTGGAAATAATGGTGGTGCTCGAATTGCATTCCCATGTCTTAATGTGTGTCTTGTTCTACCATGCACATAGTAATCTTCGAACCATTCTATGATTTCGTTAGCCTCTGGAGGAATATCATCCTTTAATTGATCAAATGCTGCAGGAATTTCGTCAGGAGGCAAGAAAGCAAGTGCAGGAATGTGTCTAATTTTTAAACTGAAATTTTCGTCAGTCCCATATTGAACACTAAGTCCAGAAGCTTGTACTTTCTGGTAAATGCTCTGAGCCAAATGAAATAAACATCCCTTGTTTTAGACACCTTGAAATTCTCTACAAGCAGCATTGATGGCTGCTTGTTCGAAATCAGTTAAAATAAATTGTGGCCGGAGAAGAACACCATTTTCATCACCAAAGTCAACCAATCCCTGAAACAAATTCCTATAACATTCTTCCGATTTTCTGGACATTAGTGCATAGACAAGTGGCATTATTTGTGAATTTTCATCTCTACCAACATGTCCATGAATTGAATATAACTGTCTAAATATATTTGGAACTGTTTTAAATGTTCCATCCATAATCCAGAAAGGGGATTGTTCCAGATATTGGTCATTAGCAATGGTTGTAAAGAGCAATATTCTATCTTGATCCAGGTCAATATCTTTAACCAAAAAGTCTGATCCACTTAGAGTCTTTGTCAAATCTTCAGGAACAATAAGTTCATTTAAAGATTCTGGTTCTACAGGAAGATCAGAACTCCTAATTCGATTAATTGTTTTGATGAAGTGCATCACGAGATGGAAGGTATGGATGCATTTCGTGAGAGATATTAGCAGTTGTGGTTTGAATAATTTGTGCAGGTGGTTCATTAGTCTCTTTTCCTCTCTCTTTTAAAGTATTAACGGTTCTTATAACATTGACTCGGCTTGCCTCCGCAGCATGATTATGATCTGTAACTTTTTGGAGACGATGTTGTCCTTCAATGAATGTGGTAACTGCTTGGCCTTTACATTGTAATGCATCATATTTTTCACAACACCAGTAATAAGAGTTGCCACGATTTTTATTTTTGCACATAATAAAACCATGAATATTAATTTTGTCTTGACCACGATTAGAAGAAACAATTTCATAAACAGTATTATTCATTTTTAAAAAAGGTAGTAAAATATATGTGATATGATTATGATAAAGTTATTATGATAAAGTTATTATGATAGTTATTATTATCAAATTAAGAAAATTTTATTCTGATGTCTTTGCAAATTATAGTTATATTTATAATGAAAAAATTGTCATGTAGACCCATACTCTTTCTGGGTATCAAGTGGTTTGGTAACAATAATTAATTGTTGATTTTAAAATTTTTTAAAACCCATCTTTGTACAAAGTAGGTTTTCGCCAAATTCCATTATATTACAAATTAAAAGATGTGCAAAAATTTTGGAAAAAAGAAACACATTTCTAATTGTTTAATAAATCAGATATATTGTATACTCTTTCAAGTTAGCAAGTGATCGGTAACAATAATTAATTGTTGATTTTAAAATTCTTAAAACCCATCTTTGTACAAAGTAGGTTTTCGCCAAATTCCTTTATACAATAAACAAACACATTTCTAATTAATAAATCAGATGTATTTTATACTCTTTTGAGTTAGCAAGTGATCGGTAACAATAACCAATTTGATTTTAAAATTTTTCTAAAATTAAATACTAACCAAAATTATCAAATCTAAAAAAATAAACAAAAAAAAAAAATTTATTATTATTGTTTTTTTAAAAAACAAGTTTATAGAGCATGCATAGTTATGATGCTAGCCAAAAATTAAAAAGTATTTATTTATTTATTTAACATGATATTATTAAAGTATACTTTTGTAATTAAAGCACAAAATTCATCTGATAGCTTTATTGTAAGGTTCCTGATCTAATATACCTACCTCTATATAAAAAAACGTTGAAAAACCCAAATCGACAAAATAGTTTGAGCTTTGAGAAACAGTTTGGGTTAGAAACCTTACTTGATTGTCAGACCCATTTAATCATACGATTTTAATAATATCAAAGACTAATTTTCAATTTAATGATAACATATGCATTGCACTATTTAGTATCTACTACTACCATTTAATTTATTTATTATTAGTATAATTTGCATTTGTATGATTGTAATTAAGAAAGAAAAATTCAGGTAAAATCAGAGTGCTAATTAGTTTGCAAGTATACAAATGATTCAAATTTATGTATCATGAAAGGAATATTACCAATTTGTCTGATCCACACACTCTACTAAAAACAATAATTATTATCAATGCTAAAATATTCAATGTCGATACTGTTGCCATCACTATCATCGTCTCATTTATCATTAGTACGATACATAAGCCGACGAATTAATTTTCGACGAAATGAACTGTTGACGAAATGAACTGTTGACGAAATGAACTTTCGACGAAATAAACTGTCAACGAAATGAACTTTCGATGAAATAAACTTTCGACGAAATGAACTTTCGACAAAATGATTGTCAATGAAATGATTGTCAATGAAGTGATTGTTGACGAAGTGATTGTTGACGAAGCAATTTTCGACAAAATGAACTTTTCGACAAAATGAACTTTTGACGAAACAAACTTTCGACAAAATGAACTTTCGACAAAACAAACTTTCGACAAAATGGGTGTCGATGAAATGATTGTTGACAAAATGATTTTTGACAAAGTAAACGGGACCGTTATGGAATCAACAAATATTTAGAAGTACACAATTTGGTATCACATTTATTACAAATTAATATTAATTAATAAAATATCTTTATTAGGTGGATGGGTCTTCATCAATATTTTATCATCCCCCTCCCTTCCTCCATTATTATCATCTCCTTTATTCTCTGCCTTCTTTTCTTTGTCTATTGTTCACCTTTTTTTTTAAATAAAAGTATGAAATACAGAATATAATCATATTTTTCAAACAACATGAATATATTAATGTCATCACATGAAGATTTTATGTTTTTATGTCACAAGTTCTATGTTGTTTCATGAAGATGCTTATTTTTTTACAAAACATACTTAAAATTAGGGATGTTAATTTGCTTTGGTGGAGCATAACTAAACTGAGTTTAAACACAAATTCAATTTAATATTTTTAATATCTGCTTCAAACATGCTTTCAATTATACTTTAAAGATGACATCATAAATAGTTTGATAATTTTCATCTTTAATAAATTATAACATGACTGAAGAACAAATTCTAGAATATAATATCAATATGTTTTTTTCTAATGAAAATATGTTGCAAGATATGCTTGAACCATTCCATTTGATGATTTAAACCATCATTGCATATGATATCTCAAATTAAATCACTCACCAAAATGATGAAAAATTGATCCTACTTAAAATACATAAACAAAAAATATGATCCCTAATTATTTGCAAAAAATGTACGAATGTATATACTTATTTTATTAGTGTTTTAATATAACTTATTTTCTACCACTTATACAAAAATAAAATTAAGCAATTTTAATTTGAAGTTAAAAATACTTAATTTCCACTATACAAAATTAAGATAATAATAAATCCTTAATATTCAACTTACATGGCTCCAAGTTCACAAAATCTCTTATTATTTTTTTTATTGTTTATTTTATAGACACCTCTGTCTCACACATTTAATATATATATATATTAAAACACTGATTATCCCATTGAATCAACTTCTTCGTTGATATGAATGATTTCTTCCTCAAATCCCTCATTAAACTTGGAAAAAACAGAATTCAAAACTACATGAAGATTGCCTATTTCATTATTGTCATAATCTTCACATAATTTTAATTTGTAGAAGCAAGTTTCAGCCTTGGGAAGATTTTGCCAATCCTTTTCACCTTTATGAAACCAATTAAACTAATATAATGATATAAAATTAGCCAAAAAACAAAAAAATATATTAAATGTACGAAAATTAATATGTATATTACCATTATTTTTTGTTTAGTTGGAATGTGGATAGACCCAGTTATCATCTTTAAAACATTCTGGCATTCTATAGGTTTTGTTAACGATTTTATGTAAATTAAAAATTTAAGATATATGGAATCTCTTCTAGAAATTGGAACACCTTTTGAATCATACAAAGTAGCTTCAATCTTTAATAAATCAAATTGATTTAAAAGCTCTTTGCAATTTGTCACCACTTGATACAAAACAGAGCTCATGCTATCCCAACCTCCTAAACTATTTATTGTCTGTAATTTTCAATGAAACCAAACTTAATTAATAAACACATAATCTGCACTATTTAAAGGAAACGAATAAAGAAAATATAAAATCAACCTTAATTATGTCCAGTTTGTTAAAACCTTCTTTAAATTGCAGCAATTCCTGTTTGCGTGTATTAATTACTTCATATTGAGAAATATAATTGGCCAAATCATTTTTTTTTAATGTATTTAAAAAGGACATCTAAAAAGAATATCCAATATGCAGTTAAAAATTGAATTTTCATATTTTTTATTACATTTGAAAAAATTTTTATCACTCTTAAGTCTTGAAACATGACACCCTTAAAATAAAAAATGCCACCTACTTTAATATCATTAGAAATTGACCATTCTTTTAAATCATCAATGTTTTTGAAGTCACCTGAAGGAGAATTAATTATTGATTTAACCAATTTGTCAACAACTGGAAACATTTCAGATACTATATCCTTGAATTCAATCTCTTTTCCAAAACAATATTTTAAGTGAAATGGATGAATATAATGTGGATATGGACCACCATGAATAAGTGCCCAAGAAAGAGCAATTCCAAAAATTCGATACATTTCATGATAATCTAACATGACAGTATTGTGTGACATTATCAAAAAATTAGAGTTATGTGAATCTTCAAATAATGGCCACATTTATAAATTTCTTCCAAAACATTGAAGAAAACTGTTTCCAAAATGTGTGCACTACATCTCTATACACACCTCCTGAATCTATTGCTCTAAAATATAAAATATAAAATATAAATAAAATTTTAAATTGCATGTATTATGAAATTAATAATAATCAGTGTTCAGAAGTAATTGAATTTTGATACAACATAGTAATAATAAATTACCGTTCAGTTATGAACCTAATTGTTGGTTTTAATAGTAATGCCTCATCGTTTGCATTACTAATCCATTTAATTAGATCTTTAAGTATTGTTTCACTGGATCCAATATCGATGTTAATTTTTCTGTCATTCAATTTATATTTTTTATCATAAAAGTCATATAAAGACTTATTTATATCATCAAGGTTATCAAAACTATAATTTAAATACTCTGGAGATGAATCAAATAATGTGCTTGTATGGTCCACATGATAATTTTCTGGAGAAATGTTAAAAAGTGCATTGTTGTTAGAAAAAGATAAATCACTATTTGTTGATTCAAGTATTTGTTGATCTAATAAAAATTTTATATCAAGTGGCTTATCAGTTGGTCCAATATATAACTTTTTATTACTCCCTGCTACTCTAAAATTTTAATAAAAATATAGAAAATTAAAAATAAAAAAATTTTAAAAATAAATTTCGTATCAAAATTTTGCAAATCTATTTATCTATTTTTTAGGTAATCAAAATTTTACATACTTTTTAATTATTTGCAAAACATATCCAGAGTTTCCTCGTTGAATTGGATAAAGATCTGAGCCAGCAGGCTTATAAAAACACCATTGGTCTTTTTGTAACAAACTAAATTCCGATTCTATAGTTGAACAAATAATATTGTTATTCTCACCAGGGAAAATTATCTCTTTGATCAAATTAAGTCTCACTAAGTTTTTATAACTGAACAAAAAAAAATAGATTAGCATTTTATAATACATTTAAGTCATAAATAAAGTGTTATGCAATTAAATAATACTTACTACTCTGTACCAGATCTAGGGATTGTAGGAACCTCAGAAAAATTATAAACATCCTTTATGCAAATAATGGTAAAACATACAGTCTTATTATTCTTATTACTACCAACCTCATTGATATTTGTTTTTGTTATACGTTTCTTTTTATTAAAATTTAATTAATGAGGATCAAATTTAATCATATCAGGTGAAAAGGAACCTTCACCATTGTAGTTTGTTTGTTTATTATTATTATAATTAAAAAGCTCATTTATGTGATCCTTCACTGTTGCTGGATATAAAGGATTTGTTTGTGGAGTTGAATAATTCAAATTATTGAAAGCTAGTAACTGGCTATTGTTGGATTCTCCATCTCCTCCAGCCTTTGTAGAGTGAAATGTATTTTGGTGGTTACATGTTTGACAAATATTACTATTATCTTGTTTAGTGAACTTCCAGCAAGAACATTTATTTCCATTATTAAAAGCAAAATGACAAGACATCTTTAAAATTAAATGTGAAATTAGGGGCTCATTTTTTTTTTTTTTTTTTTTTTTTATAATGTTAACAAACAACATCATAAATTAAAATGATATAACATAATTTAAAACAATACACATCATAAATGGGGAATGCTGCAACAAAACCAGACAAAGTGAACATTGTTGTTACCAATGATTTCAGGGTCCAAAATTTAGTCATTTGTAATGTGATTATATAATTAACAGTTTTATAATATCTCATTTGCTATCTTAAGTGATATATAGAATTACCTCTATATAAAAATAGTTAATATGAAACTCATTTACATCCGATCTACCATGGAACCAAAGAATTACAGCACCATTAGAAGTATTTTAAAAAAGGAACAGGGTGAAAAAGTTGCTCCTTATATTTTCAAAATAAATGATACTCAAACACTAGAAGCTTATCTAAGAAAAGAAAGGATTACCTATGAAATTTATCAAAGGAAAGAGTTTTCAAAAGATTATTAGAAAATTCTAGTAAAGAATCAAGAAAAAAAAGAAAACTGGCAGAATAACTAAAGCAAATAATTACTTTTTTTTCAACTTTGTTAATTTTTAATTTTCAATCAAGGTCATTTATTAGTTTCTTTAACTTCAATTTGTGCAGTTAGTTGAGTCTGCTGTCTCTTTAACTGTTCAACTTCACTTTCAAGTCTTTGAATTTTATCTAATAATTCTTGCTTTTGCTTATTATGTCAATCCTTTGAAACTTCTAAGGCTTCCAAATGAGAACTGATTTCTTCCTTAGCACTGGATAGTTGCTGTTTTAAGTCTTTATTCTGCTGTTCCAATCTGCCAACATAACTCTGTGCCATTATTTCTGTTATGGTTGGGGTTTTAACTGGTTCATCTTTCCTTAAATCACAAAAACAATCTATCCTGCTTCTCATAATTCTACCACAATCATTACAATGTGGCAAAGTATTATCATCAAGAGCTTTTTTACATTCAACACAAATATAAGCAATGTCATTGTAATCATTATTGTTTGTATTGTAAGATACTATTTTGTAAGTAGCAGTTAAACTCCTTTCTCTTTCAAAAGAACAGAAATTACAATGCCATTTATCTCCTCTCCTTAATTTGATAGCTTGATATTCTAATTTCATACTATTTACTCTTTTGTAAAATATAAGCATTGAATTTTTCTCTGGTTATTTCCTTTACTTGCTTAATTCTGTTCTTTACTTTGTTAGTTAGGAGTTTGAATTTTCTTTCTTTTTTTGGTAAGGATGGTAATTCTTGAAGTTGCTTATCTGCTAAATAATTCTGCCATGCTACAACATTTTCTAGCATTTCTATTTTTTTCAAAGCCTTTTCTAAGTTGTCATCTTTTTCCTTGCTTTGCCTTATTCTCCATTTTCTAGCTACTTCAAAAGCCTCTAAATGACATTCAGATGTTTCCACTTCTAGTTCTAATGCTTCTTCCAACTCTTGATTAATTTGCTGTAACTCAACAACCTTTTTTTCTAGAAGAGCATCCTTTACTTTTAATTCTTCATTTTCTTGATAAGTAAAACCAAAAGCTTCTTCATAATTTAATGCTTCACTACCAAAACTTTTAACAATATTTTCAGGAGTGAATTC